AGAAAGGCAAATGGCTAAAGACAGAAAACAGATTAATGGTTGCTAGAGGTTTGGCAGAGAAAAGAAATGGGGAGAGACTGCTAATTGTTATTTAGTTTTTTTCAGAGGGCGGTGAAAATGTTCTAAAATTAGATGTGATGTTGCATAAGTCTGTGACTACATTAAAAAACACTGGATGTTACATTTGAAATGTAAATGTTATGGGATATAAATTACATCTCAATGAAGCTCCTAATAAAAATGTCTTAGAGAAGTAGTAGAACAGAGGTTACAATAAAGGAAAGCATGAGTTCTGAGAATGGACATGGCTTGTGAGATGAGTAGGACAGAAGGTTTAGAAATCACAGAAATCACTCTGCTCCAGTTGGTTGAAGGATATCAAAGGCTAATGGGAGAACGTTTTCTAGATCAGTCTGTTTCTCTGTACCAAGTCTGAGTGTGTGCTCATCTGCAGCTTCACCAGCCTCAGAGGAAGACTAGTTTCTCATGTCAATTGGTCCACTGTGTCTGAAACATTATAAATCAGACGCAGCTCCATCCTTGGCCTTAGAATGTTAAAGTCTATGTTTGACCTTCGAGGGCCTGTTGCAAACAGGACCTATTCATAAACAAACATAAACACCTCTTCAACCCTAGGAAACATTAAGGGGGAAAATTCTTTAAACATTTTTCCTTAATTTAAAACTGATGTACCTCAAACTTGTTATAATTTGTTCATGTAATTGTTATGTGTATTATTCAGTTATCATGCTAATATGAAGAAATACTTCAGAGTGGGTAAGTTATAAAGAAAAGAGGTTTAATTGACTTCACAGTTTCACATGGTTGGGGAGGTCTCAGGAAACTTACAATCATGTCAGAAGGCACCTTTCCACAGGGTGGCAGGCGAGAGAATGAGTACAAGCAGGGGAAATGCCAGACACTTATAAAACCATCAGATCTCATGAGAACTCACTATCATAAGAACAGCGTGGGAGACATTGCCCCATGATTCAATTTCCTCCCACTGGGTCCACCACCAGGACACATGGAGACTATGGGATTACAGTTCAAGATGAGATCTGGGTGGGGACACAGCCAAACCATTTCATTGTGTTAACTAACTTTTAGCATAGTTCAACAACATAACATGTATAAATTACAGTTTATTTACTCTTTGTTGCTGTATAAATATTAAAATATTAAGAATAGAACAACCACTAACATATAATACCTTCATGGGATATTAAAAAAAAAAATGATTGTAATCAAAGTCGGGTCTAAATCTGACTTTTCAGCAGCCACCTTATCCTATTTTCTCCATGGTATCAACACTCCCAAGATAAGCAGTGGTATGGTTCAACAATGATGGAATATTAAGTACAATTTGAACAAAAATTTCAATTACCAGCCTCAAAGCATGACTAACGATTATTTTTTGGCAATTTGCTTTCCAAATGGTTCACTGTGATTTTACTGGTGCCTTCTTTGTCAATCAAAGTCAGCAAATACAACCTGCCATTTTCTCCTCAGTATTTCCTCTCTTCTTGTGAATTTTCGAATAAAAAAGAAAAACAAATCATTCAAACAATGCAAGTGAATGAGCAGAATGACAAATGTTTGAAGTATGAATGTAATTTTCAGTAATTTATTCCTCCATTTTAAATAATGATCATCAAAAGCTGTTACTTGGTCAATTGAACTTATTAAAGAGACTTTATAATTAGAATATACTCTTCTGCAAGTGCGACAGAAAGCTTGAGACAATATTTATATTGAATATTTATATTACTCTTTGACATTCCTGGAAGTTTGACTGGTTTAATTGTTCTGCATTAATTCTTTGTTTTTCATGATTCTCTATTGTATTATAACATTTTAAATTGTTATAACATTTTAAATTGACTAATTAGAAGACACTATACCAGAAAAGGAGAATGTTTATCTGTGTGGACCTAATAGAAAAAAAAAACTATATTGGGCAGCCAACAATGTATAAATGAAATATACCGAAGCAAAAATAAAGAACATGAAAGGAAGATATTAACCTATGTTAAATTTGTGAAGAGGTTGAACATAAGTGAGAATTTTGATACAAAAGGAGATAAATCATTTCTCTCTTTTCTGAAAATAACTATCATTTTAGACAGTAATTGTACTTTGCCTCTTAACCATGGACCTGGTTCAATGCTTTTATAGAAATAATGTGAGAACCAAATTGCTAACATTTATTATGTGTTAGCACAACTGACACTATCAACCTTTCTCTCCTGTTCCTCTATTTGCATTTTAATATTATATGTGCTTATTCTCCTAAAAGTGATCACATTATCACTATCCAGGTATTTCCATACTAACCATTCTCATATTGGCATCCCTAAGTTGCAAATCAAAGCTTCCTTGCCCATAAAAGTATTTCCTCAGCTTAGCCTCCAGGAGTAAACATGTCAATCAGCAAATATCTCCCTTCATCAATTTTGTGCAAAGCCTTTCAGGAAAGAAGTGATTTCAAGAGCTCGTTGTGCTGTATTGATTAGAGAAAGTTACAGACTCATCAATGGCACTGTATTTCTCACCTAGAGTTTACCCCAAGCCGAAATCAGCTGTTTACCTAATGCACTCCTAATTTACAACTCCATGTAGATTTATAAGTATCAAGTCACTGATTCAAAGAAAATGGAACATTTAGAACCTGTTGCTGGAACTATTGTCTCATGGTCGATATAGCATCCTCCAAGATTGACCATGCTATACGGAGACAATGGTGATAGTGTAATGAACAACAATGCCCTGACGACACACTTCCTATAGTGTGATTTTGTGAAGGTCTGGTATCCATAAGCACTTTGAGTTTTTACTGAATATTCGCTATTGAACTTGATTCTTATTATGTGAGCTTCTAAACACTCCTCCATTTAATCAGAGAATTTCTGTTGCTTAAAATAAAAAAAATTGTCTAAAAGTAATATTATATTGGTAATAAATTAACAATAAAATAGTAATTTATTATTATAAATAAGGTAAAAATAAAATATTAATTTATTATTACAAATTAGTATTTATTATAAATCACATACTTTATAAATTTAGAAAGGAGACTTTTTAATTTATAATTTTTGTATATACATGGTGTATATATATTTATGGGTTACATGAGATATTTGGATACAGGCATGCAATGCATAATAATCACATCAGGGTAAAATGGATTATCCATCACCTCAAGCAATTATCCTTTGTTTTCAAACAATTCAATTATCCCCTTTTAGCCATTTTATTTATTTATTTATTAAATTGGAGATGGAGTCTTGCTCTGTCGCCCAGGCTGGAGTGCAGTGGAACATTCTTAGCTCACTGCAACCTCCTCCTCAATGGATCAAGTCATTCTCCTGCCTCTATCTCTTGAGTAACTGGGATTACAGGTGTGTGCCACCACACCTGTAGTTTTGTATTTTTCGTGGGTTTCACCATGTTGACCAGGCTGGTCTTGAACTCCTGACCTCAAGTGATCCTCCTCCATTGACTTTTCAAAGTGCTGGGGTTACAGACCTGAGCCACTGTGCCCAGCTTTCTTTTAGTCATTTTAAAATGTACAATTACATTATTTTTTACTATAGTCACCCTACTGTGCTAGAAAAGGAGACTTTATTTCTTATCTCGGGTTATAGCCTGCAAGACAGCCATTCTGACAGTCTGGGAAGCAAAGGCTTCCACAGAAGCTGGAAACAGGCATTTGGAGGGAGGGAGGGTAAAGCAGGAATTTATGCTGAACAAGTTGGCCAAATATACATATTCAACAGGTTACAGAAGGATCTTATGAATATGTATGAGGGAGTACTAACACATGTGTACTTAGTGAACATGCATGTTGCATGTGTCTCATGTTCACTTTGGGGTGGAGAGTTAACATTTAAATGCATTACAATTAGGCCGTGCACATCAAAGGGTGAAGCAGGGACACAAAGTCACCCAGTGTGCAACCTCTGTAAACCCGCCCGTGCCAGGCTGATAGTTTCTTATCAGGAGACAGTTATTGAAATCAGCTATTTAGTTCAATCAAAGCTCTATTTATGGCTTGTGGAACCAGGGTGGGGGCCATCATCTGGTAGTGGAGGAGCCATAATTGTTTTAATCTTGCTTACCTGGAGGCCAGTGGTTGTTTAGCTGCTGAAGAAAAGCTTTGTGGCAGTGGGAACATATTTGTAAGTGTAGGGGGTGCGTGACTTAACCCTTGCCTGGCATGGACTTAGCTCTGACTTAGCTCTTACTTATTATTTGCTATCTTATTGCCATAAAGAATCCATTCTGTGAGTCTTACAATCTCTATTTTAACATTAATCTCTATTTTAACATTAAGGCTGGTTTGTTGTTGTGTCTAAACCACAAAAGGGAGTGGGTATAATGAGGCAGGTCGGGCCTCCTGGCACATCATGGCCAGGAACTCAGCTTTTATGGTTTCCCGGGGGTCCCTTTGACCAAAATGGAGTCTGTTAAGTCAGTTAGGGGACTTAGGGTTTTACTTTTAGTTTATTTTATGAAATGGTTTTGGAGCCGTAAGTGAATGAAAAAGGAGAATATAATTAATCGACATAAGTTTTGAAGAATATTATTTGCAGATGATACAGTCTTTTTAAACTTAAAACTCAGATTTCTAAGAAACACACTGAGTGGCTTCTACTGTAATATGTAAAGATCTTGGAAGTTTGGAAGTTGTCATTCTTGCCCTTAAAACCAAAAAATGGAATTGAACAAACTGAACTGATAACCAATGACTTTTCTTAGATCCCTCAGAGAATTGAGGTCACAGGACAAACCATCATCCTGAAAACCAACAGAAAGAAACAGAAAATGCAGGTCAGCTTACCTGGAAGAGAAGCTGCTAAAGCCAGTAACTGCTTCGAACACTTCAATGGGGCTGGCCTGGTGGCTCAGGCCTATAATCCAAGCACTGGCCTGGTGGCTCAGGCCTGTAATCCAAGCACTTTGGGAGGTTGAGGTGCGAAGATCGCTTGACCCCTGGAGTTCAAGACTGGCCTGGGCAATGTAGTGAGATCCCATCTCTACAAAAAATGAAAAAAATTAGTCAGGCATGGTGACGCTCACCTGTAGTCCCAGGTACTCAAGGCAGATGAGAGGATCTGTTGAGCCTAGGAGTTTGAGGATGCAGTGAGCTGTGATCACCACTGCACTCCAGCTTGGGCAACAGAGCGATGACCTGTCTCTTTAAAAAAAAAAAAGTAAAATGACTTAAATGGTAATTTTGGCAAATTGTAGACTAGTTTGAGAGTTAAAACTCCTGTGGGCTTGGTCTAAGGGCCTGCTCTTCTTTTAGAAAGATTGAATACTCTTGCTTCTTACATGGAGATCTGAATAACTCATTTTATGGCAAAAGGGATATAGAATCTGCCTACGTGTCTGCATATTGACTGAATTAATGCAGCAGATATTTCCAGTTATTAGATGGTAGAACTTTGCATTTCTGTGACTGCATGAATGTTTAAGAAAGTACTTTATGGCTGGGCATGGTGGCTCATGCCTGTGATCCCAGTATTTTGGGAGGCTGAGGTGGGTGATAGCTTGAGCTCAGTAGTTTGAGACCAGTCTGGGCAACATGGCAAAACCTCATCTCTACAAAAAATACAAAAATTAGCTGGGCCTGGCAGCATGTGCCTGTGGTCTCAACTACTCAGGAGGCTGAAGTGGCAAGATCACTTGAGCCCAAGAGGTTGAGGCTGCAGTGAGCCTTGATCGTGTTACTGTACTTCAGCCTGGGTGGCAGAATGAGATCTTGTACAAACAAACAAACAAAAAAACAAAGAAGAAAGAAAGAAGGAAAGCGAGAAAGAAAAGAAAGACGGAAGGTAGGAAGGAAGGAAGGAAGGAAGGAAGGAAGGAAGGAAGGAAGGAAAGAAAGAAAGAAGAAAGAAAGACAAAGCAGACTATTTTATTCTACTTTATTTTTAAAAAATAATAATATCTAAGTTTTCTTTTAAACATAAATTATGTGCTAGGTTCTGGGCTAGATACTGTAAATATTACCTACTTATTCTTAAAAATACTCTGTAAGGTAGATTTTGAATGTTATCATTATCCAACTATTTCACATGAGAGTAAGTTTAAAATAGCTAAATAACTTTTCCATGCTCATTCCAAAAGTACATCGCTGTTACAGCTTGCATTTTTGTGTTCCCCCAAATTTATATGTTGAAACCTAACAATTAATTGATGGTATTAGGATGTGGCCTTTTGAGGTGATTAGATCATGAGGGTGGAGCTCTCATGAGTGGGATTTGCACCCTTATAAAAGAAGTCTCACAGACTTCCTTCACCCCTTCCATTCTGTGAGCATACAGGGAGAGGAGACCATCTATGAACCAGGAAGCAGACCCTCTCCAGACCCTGAATTTACAAGTGTCTTGATCTTGCTTGTTCTTGGACTTCCCAGCCCCTACAACTGTGACAAATAAGTTTATGTTGCTTATAAGCCGCTCAGTTTATGATGCTTTGTGACTGCAGCACAAATGAGCTAAGATAGTAACTGAACTGGGATTTCAACCCTGGTCAGTCCGACTCCAAAATGAAAATACCTAGCCATTCAGTTAGTTTGCCCATGATATGCTCTTAGTGTTTTTTCCAGTAGGGGGACAAGTTATTGAACAAGTTACCAGTTCCGTGACTTGCAGGAGGAAGGTTTAGTCCACCTAACAAGAATAACTGTGCATAAATCATCTTTATCTAGATAATCATCAAAAAGAGTTAAGATTGGTCTTACAAAGCCTCAGGCAACAAAACAATTTAAAAAGGAAAAGTGTAAAATGTTAAGGAGAAAAGTGTAAAATGTTAAGGTCCTGATTAGATATTTTCCCCTTCCTAAGGCAATGATCCAAAATATTTGAGAATCAGTGGATGAAAACCTCTAAGAAATATGTTATTGAATATAATTGTTAGGGGGGAGTAATTTCACAAATTTTAGAACTGTGGCTACTTCTCACTCTTTTTGTGACTACAGTCTCTTCTCAACTACCCCTAATCATTTATCAATATCCAAAATGACTTATATTTATTGAGGGATAAAATGAATTTTTAAAATAATGCAAAATTCTAGGAAGGCAAGGAGGTAAACCAACTTAGAAAACTGTGATAATAAAGACAGTTGGCTATGCTTTATTATTTTCAGGATCAGAGTCTCTTCCTTTCTAATGGCCTGTTTAATCAAGGGATTCTCATTCAACCTTGATTCTGTGCCATAGGCTGATTTCCCTGTAAGGATGCTTAAATAATGAAGACTCACCACACAGAAGAAAAGTGGTGGTGGAGCAGTTCCAAGGTCAGCAACTCAGCTGCCTAGTGACATTGTTAATAAAGTGATCTTTTCCTCCTTCTACTCCATCCTTCTCAGTATGCTGCCCATGGATAGGATACTAAGCCTTCTTAGTCACAAAATGGCTGCAACAGCTCCAAACACTATACTTTCATACAACTTCCCAAAGTCAAAAAAGAAAATATTGACTCTTTGTATTCATTGTATTTAAGTGAGGAAAATGCTCCAGTGTAAACCCCCAAACTGCCAGGGTCATATGTATTTTCCTTGGTGGATTGTTGGTCAAGAATATGTCACAAGGCTGTTTTGAACACTATTACTGGCAAGGTGAATTCAGTTGCCACGGTTAGCTTAATCGAGATTTATTCCATTCTGCTAAAGGCAGGTCCTAGCTTCCTTGAAATGGGGGAGGCTGATGATTGATTAAGAGGCACAAGTACCACAAGTGCCTACTCTCATAGGCAAAATTGCACCCATCCCTCGTTAATGCAAAAGATCATGGACTCGTCTGTTTTTGTCCTTGCATTAGAATAATTTTAGGTCTTAGTTATCTGCAAAAATAACCCAAATTGTTCATGCTTCTAATAATCTGTTTTGTGTATTTTCTTTTAGTCTTATAGTCTCATGTGCCTGAAACCTAGGAAGCCCTTTCAGTGTAGCTGATTGTAATAAGCACTAATAGTAATGGGAAGAGTAATAGTAATAATAGTAATAGTACCATCACCAGCATCAAATGATTACTGATGATAGTTATTATATTTTTCGTTTTCATAATAACATTATACTGTATAGAACATTTTACAGGAAAAGGCAACCGAGGCTTAAGGCCATTAAGTTAGTTGTGCTAGGCCATAGAATTTCTCATCTTGAAAGGATCTCTCCTGGTCAATGTTGCAGCGTCCTATGAAGGGACCTGGAATTGATCTGTGCCAATGCCCTTTGCACCTGTACTTGTACAGGTGGATGTACAGTGCCTGTAGACTGAATGGAGGGCTTAAAAACAGGCATAATCCAAGGAAAACATGCTCATGCTATGGTCAGCATCCTCTTAACTGTACAAGTCTAAAATACTCTGGGAAAGCCCAGAGTGAGAGACAGTGTAGAAAATCTTGTACAGACACACCAAAGCACATGCTTAGGAATTAAGCAAATCTGGGAGTTACTAAAAAACTGTAGCTAAGACAGGCAGGTAAGCCAGGCTGCTAGAAACTGGGGCTGGTGTAAGCCTTCTGTAGCAAAAGCATGGAATAAGTTGGCATTACTGTCAACTGCAGATCCAAGCATTAGCATTGTTTCGTTTTTGTTCAAAGTGAGAGATTGAGTTGGTGTTCCTCCATATACATACACAAAATCTTCTCTATAAAGAAGACTAATATTTATTAAATCCCTCTTATGTATATATAAATGTACATACATATTAATATACATACATATCAATATATAAGGATACAATTCTATGCATGCTATATATATAATTACATCTAGAGTCTTCTTTATCAAAAGACAAAAGAATGCTTATCATCATTTATACATGACAGAACAGGGCTGTAGCACTATTAAGTGACATGTTTAAAATTCACACCACTGATTATGAAAGACTAATTAAAACACAGTTTAATAGTACAAGTTAATATCAGTGTAACCTTGTGAACTGTTTCCCACATGGTACTAAGACTTAGGCTTTCTTCTAACTGTTTTTGTCTCTTGGACACTAACTCTTTTTAATACCTGAAACAACAGAGTCTATTCTGTAATCCTCATTCTGCGCAAAATTTAAATGCAGACACATTCACTAGCATTTATACTTTTTTGGCATAATATTTATGTGGGGTCATTTATGACACCCTTGATTTTGAAAATTCATCAGAGTTGTTATTTTCATTTTTATCATATACATAACTTTTGGATTATGATATAGGAAATATTTAGGAAATGCCAATATCGATCTCATTTTATTACATTTAAACATGAAAATAACCTAAAATTTGTAAGTTGAAATACATTCTTTATTACCATCTAAGAAAATTTTGAGAATTAAGTACTACATGTATGATGTAATGGGGAAAATATTTATCTTCTCGATAAATGATATATAGATTTGAAATACTGGGGAGCACACTTCTGGGACTGCTGTTAGGTGGTCGTTGGAATTTCATGGAAAGACAGTGATTAGATCTTATTTTTACAGTGATTACTGTAGGAAATCTACAGTAATTGTCTGTGAATACTTACTAAAATTCTGTCTAGATCCATGTTAATCCCCAAACAGTGAAGTCAATTCCTCATTCTCTTTCTAAGCATGTTAACATAGAATAATATACCATTTTCTCCAGGCTGGTGTTGGGTCCTCCTACTTTGGGGATATATAGGGGCATCTGCTCACAAAAATATTGAGACGAATAGTCTGGATGCCCAATCAAAAGTCGTAACTGCTCCCCCATTCTTCTTGAGAAATATCATCTTTTTTTTTTTTTTTTTTTTTTTTTTTTTTTTGTGCATATTCCTGGAGTTAGGGAAAAATCATGGACCTGAGGTTTATCCTGGTCTGTCTAACCCAATGAAAGTAACCCATGGCTGCTTTAGTAATAGTTGTGTCCAGTGAGTTGTGAGAGAAAATTTCAGAAACATTGCTCTTGCTCTGACCGAGGACCGCGAGAAGGGGACCGTTTCTTTCTTTTCTTTTTCTTTTTTTTTTTTTTGAGACGGAGTCTCGCGTTGTCGCCCAGGCTGGAGTGCAGG